CACTCCAGACGGATTTTCTCACCATCTCAAAAATGGCAAAAGACAAATGCTTCTAGAAATCTTGGCTTGTTTATACCATTTAATCATATGCAAAGTGGACCCTAAGGTGACCTAATCCTTCCTCTACATGTTTTGTCCTTATGCCAGAGGTGGGGAAGAGGCCTTAACAGGCAACCTAGTTTTGAGTAAATTAACAGGCAAATCCAGTTTGGCCACAAGTGGGCTCGGTATGAGCTCAGAAAGAAAGCCCTTGTTTGATCCGACAGGTCAGTATCTTCCAGGAAAAACAGGAAGTTTGGGGGAAATACGTGAGAACCCACCTGGTAGCAAATGGGAAATTGGTTTAAGTGCTGAGAAAAATACCCATTTTCATTGTTATCAGTGGTTTCTTTCTCATCATCTTCACCCATCCCGCCACCACCGAGCCAAAAACCTTGCTCCTCTATCATGGCTCTTCCCATTTGAAACAGGCTGAATTAGATACTAGGATACAGCCATCCGGCTGGGACCAAAAGGTCCCAGAAGCCCCAGTGTGTAGAGAGAACCCACCGGCAATCCCCAAGAGTCCTAATAAAAACGGTGAGGCAACAAACGGTCACCTTCAAGTCAGAGTCCAGTAACAAACGGCCACAGTCAAGCCACACTTGGACTCAATGTTTTCAAGAACCAAGTAAAGCATTCTAGCTCTTCTTAACCTGCTCAGCTGATCTCCTGACCCGGGACATGCAAATGCTTAACTACACCCTGGCTTGGGGGAGAAAGCCAGCAGGGGTGAACATACTCTGTAATGGCCTGACTTCCGTAGACTACTGATCTGTCTCACCCTGAGGTAGGAAGGGACACTGCCCGCCTCCTCAAGCTGAGCAGTGCCCAGGGCTTAGGGGCTTCTTCAGACTATGACGTGAGTGTGGCGTCTGAGCCAGGCCGTTATCACTGGGGAACGGTGGACAATTTCCCTCTTCACCCCGCTCTCCTTTCCCTATTGCTGATTCTACTGTTCAGGAGTGAATTGTCATGTAATCCCTTCTGCTGCTAAGGGTGATACAAAATGTTGGTTGCAATATAGTTATAAAAAATATTTAAGTAAAAGACAGAGAAAGAGAGAAAGAGAGGAAGGGAGGAGGGAGGGAG